CACGTGCTCACTTTTGATACTGTCAAAGAAAATTGAAACTACCAGCGCATTGATCACAGAGCACTCTCCATCGTGTTTCGCTTCCGTGAATGCACGTGTCTCATTAAACAATGTCCGAAAGGAGTACGGGCGACTCAAGCATCATGCCAGCAAAACAAATTGCGCCCCGAACTACAACAGCAATACCAGCAACACAGCATTCGAAAAATTATTTCAAGTCAAATAAATCATAAACGCTTCGTTCTAACTAGCCATCATACATCACGCTTTCGATATATATATATATATATATACAGACATACACACAAACTCCACATTTAATATTAACGCAGCAAGAGCTTGTATTACATTACACTACTATCTGAATTCCGTTTAGTCGAACATGGTCACCATAATTTTATGTAAACTGACATGTGCGCGTGCTATTTATTATTATTCGCTGATTGCGAACGGCAATATCTTTTTGTTATTTACCAAGTTTTTTTATTTTATTTTTTTCATCACGAACAATTGCATGCTCATCTATGTGGCCATGTAATTCTACTATATAAATATCCATAACTACTAGACTTAAAATCACATTTGAATTTTCCGTTAAAGATTTGAATTGCATGCACATTGCACAACAACATTGACAATTATATTCATATTATGATCGCAAATCATTTAACCGTAATGAATTTGGTTTTTTTCTGCAAGATCATCTGATTTGGTTATAAAAATGCCAAGCATTAACTTCAACTTCTTTCTACTATAAAATGTCGAAAGAAATGTGTTAACAAACGATTAGATGATTTTTTTACTTAAACTTTGAATTGAAGTAAGGTCGTACAATTTACTCACAAAGAGAATTCACAATTGCGTAAGTGTCGTTATAAGAACGGATCCCGATTCATTTTTCGGTGATGAGAGAAAGAATTCTCCCGTAGTATTCGTAGATAGTGTGTTGAACATATTTCTTCAGCATTGTTTCAAACAATTTGGAACTGATCATTTGAGAGTCTTGATTGACAATCACAAGTTAAGATGAGCATAAGAAAGGGCATACGATTTCAATCGTTCATAGCTTGCAATGCATAAATGCATCTTATGGCACAGATAGTATCCACACATAGTACATCTATACGATGCATTTAAATGCGTTGTGGCTGTGGTTGCTGTGAGCGGGTGCTGTGTGTGTTTCAAGACTCAAGAGTAGACGGGGCGAGATCAGTAGATCAGGCGAAAGAAAAAAAACACCATGATGTGGAAAAAGCGCAAAGAAAAATGCAAGCAATAAGATGTTGTTTGTGGCAGAAGCGTTTGCTATTTCGGTTGAATTGGTTTGTGTGCGCGTTTTTCCTCGTTGGATCTAGAGAGTAAAATAGTACACATCTACTTATTTCGTGGAAACGAAAGAACGGAACGGAAAATATGGAGATGATGAAGAGATGCAACGATGATGGATTGGGGCAAGATGGTAGTCAAAGCAAGCAAAGGAGAAGGAAAGAGAGCGAGATAGATCCGAAAAGTGAAATGAATAATTGCTTGTGGGGGTTGAGAAAATAACAAACTAACGCAAGAGCAAGCGATTTACTTGCAAGTTTGTACCTTTTTGGATTTGTGTGTGTGTGTGTAAGAGCGCACTAGAGCGGTCGCGCGTTCGCCAAGAATTTTTTTAGTATATATTGTGTAATAGAGAATTTCATAGCCATACAATAAAATAAATCGGCGCGACGAAATATTTTCATCATTTTCAATGTAAACTATAGCGCTCTTTCGTTTACTCATTTCGCCGAATAAAATGGCTCAGCCGCCGCCGTCATCTCTCTCTCTCTCTCTCTCTCTCTCTCTCTCTCTCGTTTACTTGTTTTATGCCATTTTTCATCTTGGGGCCCGTGTATTTGGTTCAGTAACAAATGAAAAATAAAACTTTTTCTTTGCCTCCTGCTCTTCCCTATCCCTCATCCGTCCTCCTTTAACTCATCTCACTCATTCACTCCCGATATGTTCAATGTGTATACATTTTGTACGAGAGATGCTGTGTGCTCACCCTGGAGGGTTTCGTTTACGCTTTGCGCACTCATAATGTACTTTGCTATGTGTATGTAATTTTCATATAATGCCATTGGCATTTTAGTTACTTTTTTTGTTGATGTTTTCAGTTTTCTGTTTCGGTTTCGGTTGATGCCGTTGTATTCATATTTCTTGAGCTCACAAGCTCATTCCCTTTCTCTCTTGTTCGTTATTTTATACAAACGCACAACTCTCTCGCTCTCACTCGTTCTCTCGTTTGCTGACTATTTCATATATATTTTACATTTTATAACAGCCAACGCAACAACAATAACAGCATCGACCGCAACACAACAACCGAAAAACTAAATAGTAAAGGAGTAGTTAACATTCGGGGCAAAGCATATTTATGATGCATAAAACTTCTTTTTTTTTCATTTTCGCATAGGTGCGTGTGCTGCTTTTACACTTGATTAACAAAGAAATGCGGCCTGTGTGCTTTCTCTCTCTCTCTCTCTCTCTCTCTCTCACTCTCTCACTCTCTCTCTATTTATCTATCTCTGTCAAATATTATATCAAAATAAAATGAATATTTTTCATATATTCACGTAAAGTTTTCAATTTTAATTTCGAATAGATTTTTTTTTTTTTTTTAAAGAAAAAAAGAGATACAGGAAGAGAGATAGAGCTGGCCAACGGACTTTGCATTAGCCTAATAATATGATCGGAGATAGTGAATATCATTTGTTTACTTTATTTTTTTAGCATTTTCTCATTTTATTTTTTTCTCCAGCTGTGTGATATGCCTGGTGTGCATGCTTGCTGCTGAGTTTTTCGTTGATCGGTACCAATGCTCTTGGGCTGAAAGTATAAAATATATCGAGTTCGAAGTACTTCGAAAATCGAAGGCTTTTTTTGTAATATTATATTGTATGTATCGGTGCGATTTGAACATCTACGTATGCGCCGCGTGTATTATACATAACATATTTAAATAAAAACAGCTTTGGGACAAAAAACCGAAATATGAAACCATGCCATGTGAAAATGATGAAACATTGCCTGATAAGCGGGCGATCCCGAAAGCCAACACAGAACAAGAATAAAACAAGACCACATGCACACACACTCACACACAGTATGTCGTAAATACGCGGAAACACAGAGACAGACAGAGATAGACAGACGACATTAAAACAGAAAGAGAGAAAGTACTTTACTCCGATATTGCGTTCTCGTCGATAATAATTACCTCTAGCTATGAGAATTTATTTTGGTACGAGCCAACGATAATGAATCGTCCTCCTTCCCTCTCGGATCCTCTATCAGTTTTTCTGTTGCCTGCGCTTGTTCGCTCTCCCTCTTTCGAAGGATACTCGGTTGGAGTGCAGAGCGGACGATTGCACATTTTATTTGACTTTATTTTTTTTATTTCATTTCAATTTTGATTGTTGTTTTTGTCCTTTTTTTCATTCAATTTCTCTCTTTTTTCTCTCTGTATATATAGATAATGGTTTGTTTTTAAAGCGACAATTTTAATGAGCTTTAAGTTTTCCCATCAGTTTCCAATAGTTTTACAACAAATTGGTCGCATCCATTTAAACGGAAATCTATTACAAAGCCGATACGATTTTCAAATGTTCACGTCGACGTTCTTTCGAAAAAATGTACTCTTGATTTTCGTTGCTGATTCCAGTGGTGAGTGAAATGAAACAAATTTAATACAACCGATTTTTCGCTTATAGCACAGAAAATTCTACAATTTTGGTTATGTTTCGACTTCATTTCACAATTTAAGCGTAAATTTGTATGCGTGCGAATAAAAGTGGGAATATAGAAATGAACTTTGAAAAGCACACGCCGAATATTCAACATCGTGGAACCTCTTTCAATGTAAGATAGAGCCCATATTCAATGCAATACAATTGATGTCCCATGTGAAAAACTACTGACTGACTACTCAGTTATCTGATTTGGAACGTTTTTGGCTTAAGCCAACTGAGATGGAAGTCATTTAAAGTTGTTTTGCTTGATTTTTCAGTCGATTCCAGTAGAGAAAAACATAACTCAAATCAACTTTTATCACAGTTGGCTACATCCAAAAACATCCCAAAATTTTTGTCTGTTTAAAATCAGAGAAATAGACGACTAAAGTCGACTGGGTAGACAAAATTCATTTTCAGTTGATTTCAGCTAGTCAGTCAGTCACATTTTTTCCACACGAGGTTTCACTATTTTGGCGTGTTCGTTTCTATATTCCCACTTTTATTCTCACCGAATCAATTGGCCATTGCCTATTAGCAACACATCGAAGATTGGAAGAAAGCCAGAGAGAAAAAGACAGAAAAAGGTAAAACAGATCAACAAAAAGGTTCAGCAACGCACATAAAATACACGTTGAGTTCATTGCCTCAAAACAAATTTGCCCAAAGTTCAAATACTCAAATAGAGAGTATTGTTTGTGCTCAATATGACGCATTATTTCTGATACGGTGCCGCAGGTGATTTGCCAAAGAATTTCAGTTGATAAAAACCCGACCGAATGCTACACAACATCGGAGAAAACATTATTAACACCGACATGATCTATGATTTTTCATAGAAAGTATTTTGTTTTTGTAGAAAAGAACTTTTTAACCATTTTTATCGTAATTTTTTTTTTTTTAATTCAAAGAATCGTATGAAATCAAAAAAACCGTTGAACAAATATAACCAGTGAAGCCCAATACTTGTAACGTCATCTGGTGATAATTGCATGAAATTACAAGAAAAGCTTTTGCAAGATACCATATATTTTATACGGTCGTGAATGATTTTAAGGTTTTGGTTTTATTAAAAATCAGTACACATTGCAATGAAAAAAATTGTGATCTATTATCTATTACGATTCGTGATTTCAATGTATTTAAAAGTTTAAACTAGTTGAATTTTATGTTTTCATGTGGATAAAAGATAAAAATTCAATATGAAACTTATTTACATTTAGATATTTAAACATCGACACTTACGATGAATCCACGATTATTCATCATTATCAATGAGTTTCATAATTCATGAAATTTCTTGGATCAGGTAAGTGAAAATTATCGAATAATTTTGAAAATAATATTGCTAATTAAAAAGCAAGTATGAAAAACATTTTGAAATTGCAGACGCCAATAAATAATAATAATAATAAAAAATGTTTATCTTGTTCAGACGTCTTTAAATTCGAAAAAAAAAAATTATACATCCAACTCGCAAAAAATAGACTCGAAGAAGTCAATGAAAGCGTATATAAATTGCAGTGTTCTGGAGTTTCTAACTAACTCAAAACGTAAATTTGCGAATTGCACTCACTCTAAACCAATTTACTTTAATCAACGAAAATGAAATTAATTGGTATTTCGTGCATTATCTGTTTGACTTTGGTAAGTAAAAATTTATTTCATTGAAAAGATATGGTCGAGAAAGCGTAAATCGTCGATATTTCTTAAAATGTTTGAATTTACAGGTTTCGGCCTCAAAAAAGATTTCACGTAAGAAAATATATATATTTCAGTCCGGCTTATTTTAAAATAAATTCCATTAATAGGTAGGTCCACTATATCAGTGAAAATGTCAAATTTCCTACCATCCAGAATGCTCTCTGGGAAATTTCAAATGATCAACGCGGATAATATCCACCCTGCCAATATTCATGAAGCTGTGAATACAAATAAAGGCTCAGCATGGATGTTCAAGTATAAATTTGATTATAGAAATGATTAAATTTCATTTAAAAACATCTATTCTCCTAGTTGTTGCGGACGGGAGGGCGATTTTAGAAAAATAGTGGAAGAAATTTCACTATCAGATGCTGGATATATCCGAGAAGGGTAAACTAACTTTCAATTTTTCAGAATTCCAGAACATTGATTAATCTCTATTATAGCGATATCTTGGTCGTTATTACTTATGCGAGCGACATGTTTAAGCGAATCAGCAGTTTGATTAATTCGAATGCTTACGGTGCAAACTTTTTCTCGCAGTGAGTTTTCACATGATTTTTGTCAAAGTCTACCTACGATTTACAATGTTATCAATTTTAGGGACCTATTGGAACTGAACTCATATGCAAATGACTTAAAAAACCTCACCGGGTAAGTATCTGTTTTGAGTTCAATTTATATTTGTTTTAAAACAACATTTCTACTTGTAGGAGAGTTCAACCGTATACAAAGAATATGATCGAGAAAATGTGCGTTGACATGTACACAAATATGTGTTTGATGAAAGCTTCACAAGGTCCAAATGCACCAATTATATTACCAATTCCCGGCGCAATGCATTAATCATTTAATATAATTGTTTCTTTTATAATTTTGCTGAATAATTATTACAGTTTTTTAGTAAGCACACGTGTGCAAAATATTCGAAAATAATGTTTGGCCCTGAACTCGACGAGTATAATGAAAAAATTCTTATAAATAAATTGTAACAACTTGAAAACGTATTCAACGAATTGAGTTCTTATTTCATTCCAATAACAATTTTATTTAAAAAAAAAAACTACACACACAGTGTGTCACGCACTCAAAACACATTTAAATAATTCCACTACTAATATTTTTTGCAGTGTGTCCATAATATATAGAAATATCACTAAATAGTGTCGATATCTATACTATATCGGTCCACTATATATGAAAGATATTGCCGCACGGCACCGTATCGCACGATCGAAGTCAGTGTAGACGGAAAAAATCACAAATTTCCGTGCGGCAGTAGAATAAACTGTGTGTATGCGTCAACATGTTTTCTGTCCGCACTCACTTCGTTCGTGAGCTACGGTGTCTTGCGGAATATCTTACATATATAGTGCCCCGATATAGTATAGATATCGACACTATTTAGTGCTATTTCTATATGTTTTGGACACACTGATTTTTTGTGTGCATAGAAAATTTTAGCGAATTCTGTTGCTCTGATGAAAACATCAATGTTTCACAAGATGTTTATTTGAAATATTAAGACCAGTAATGTGCGAAGGGGAGGAAGAGAGGGGGGATTATCCCCTCTGTGACTTCAAAATTCTACCGAGCTGCTAGGGATTTTCGTCCGAAACGAACTTTTTCTCGATTTCCTAGGGTTTTTTGAAGAAAATTGCGAAGTTTTCATCCGTTCCATTATGCTCAAGAGCCACCAGTACGGGATTCTCTCTATCAATATGCTTGGTGTACACCTTAAATTTGTCTTTTTTGCCAATGTATTTTATCGCCAAGCGGCATAGATCCTCGCTTTGTGATGCATAATAATTGGAGTGTATGGGTCCATGGCTATTTGTTGCTTCTTTAACAATAAATGTGATGTAGCAAGGAGTTTCTGGAAACGCTGTACAAAAAACACTCTTTACTGGCCCTGCCTCGATTTTATGCTCAACTGGATTTCCACAAACTGGACCGAAAAGCGTTAAGAAAATGTTTAAATCGAATGTTTAGGTCGAAAATGGCATTAAAAACGTTCATAAGAACCAAGCAATGAAATAATAAACGCTAAATAGAAACTCATTTTCGATGGAAACTTTTGTAAATTTTCGATTTTTTTTTCTTATTTGGAGCTGTTTGATTTGAATGAATACCGAATTTTCTAATGACTTTATACAATATATCGGCTCCCTTTTATACTCTTTCAAACACAAATACATTGATTGTGGTTAAAATGATGATTGAAAACAATGACGCCATACAAATGGAATATGATGTTTTTGATATTTCGCAAAACAACGTCATTTGATTTACATAAAAACACACCAAGTCAATTTCTTAAAGTTCAAATTTTTTCATAACTTGACGTCAACTAGAAGCTAATTAAGAAGAATTAAAAAACCATTCGTTAATTAAAATCAGCAATAATAAATTTTCGATTTGGTCTCGCACAAATTCAAAAATGCATTTTTGAATTGTTCATTCCTGGGGGGTGTCTCAGAGCATTTGCCTCAAAAACCCTAGCAAATTGAAAGATTTTTATCTTCGCCCAAAAACCCTAGCAAATTGAATATTTTCTCCCGTTTTAGGAAATGAAGAGCCAAAAAAAGGTCTTCACATTTTTTGCGAAAATCCTTGGCAAATCGAAAGAATACTTTTCTCAAAAAAATGAAATTTCTAATGGGGTAGTTCCCAAAGCAGTTCTCTTATTTTCAATGGAATGTTAGTTTTCGAAAAACTTATTTTGAGCTGTTCGATTTGAATAAATACCGAATTTTTAATGAATTTACACGAAAGATGAGATCTATTTTATACTTTTAAAAAATACTAATACATTGGTGTCTGTCGTCCAGAAAACAATAACGCCATACAAATGGAATGTTTGATAATTCATAAATAAAATAGAAAAAAAAACAAATATCAATTTTCGCATCTTATTCAGTTTGGTGCGCTTCAATTTATTATTTTTTTCACCATTTCAAAATTTTTGGCGATAATTTATTTCTTTATTTTACTTTAAAATTGTTTTCGGTTTGTTTGTTTATGACATAACTCAAGCAAAGAAAAAACCTATTTTTTCGGAATCCTCAGTCCAATACACAGATATGGTATTTTTCTTTTTGGAAAATTCGCCCAAGAAAATTCTTTTCCTTGCAAATGAAATTTTTCCCAAGAGTTTGTATGGGAATCTGAAAACAACTTGATTTGTACGTTGTAACTCAAGTTCAAATTCTACGATTTTGATTAAATTTGCTCAGTTTATAGCTCTTTAGATGTCTCTTCGAAAAAACAGACCCAGAATGCCAGAATACTCGATCGACCTTGTGACAAGTGGCTATAACCGCTATAGTACAACAAACTACCGAATATCTGTGTATTTTTATGAATTTTTTGACGAAAGTCGATGGGACTCCAATTAAAATCATACAATTTTGATTAAATTGTTTAATTTTTCTGCGGATCCTTAGGGCTTTAAAATATTTTCTGAATTCCCCTCGTTTATGCATCGATACATGAAGCATTACTTCCAAGTACTTTGGCAGTGTAAATTGATATTATTTCTAATTTTTCCCCAGACCATGCAACACATTTTTTTCGGTCAACCAATTTACAGATTTTCACTAATTATTTCTACATTCATAAATGAAGAATATTTGTTGTTTTCCATTTCAGTAAAAATAAAAAATTTCGCAAAAAAACTGTTCTTTACACGCAACAAAACAATCACAATAAAGAAATACATGCTTTATTTGATTTGATGGGTAATTTTTCAAAAAATGAACGATAAAATATGTTTTCAAATCGATGCAGTTGTTCATTGCTTATGATTCGAATTAAGAACGTTTAATAACAATAATAAATAAAATATCTTTTTATGACTTTATTAAAACCGAATATATGTGCTAGATGGTAAGTAAATTGTCAAAAAAACCACATATATATAGAAATGTGCTATATAGAAATGTGAACGGTACAAATATTTCAATTTCGTTTCATAAAATGGTGTCAAAAAATGCAAAGTTCTTCCAAAAGAAAACAGAAGAAAATCGTTAGTCAATGAGTGCTTCATCGAGTTTTTGTTTGTCGATGGTAATGTTCTCCAAAGTTCGAATTTCGTTGGCCGTTTGGCTGCGATTAATGATCCGTGTTTTTTGTGCACGTTTTGATGTTGGTCTTTGTTCGTCTTCGGTAACTTGCAAACTGGCTCCATTAAAGTTCAAATAAACTCTCCCAAAGTTGTCTGTTTAATCATTTGAAATAAGTCATCATCAAAAATTATTATCTTTTCGTGTTATTTCAAATTGTTATTTATAGTATTTTTGTATTTACTAAACCTGTTTTAATCGGAAGAATTTCGGTGCAAATGCTTCGTTTGCGATTCTTCAGCTGTGGCGAACTCAATGTGACTGTACTATTTGTAATTATCGATGGACTTGGGCTCGCCGAACGACTGCCGGGTGTTGAGTCCGTCTCTTTAAATCCATCGTCGTCACAACTTCGGCTCTGTTCTTCGTTGAAATGACGGCTTTTTTGATGTTTTTTTCGTTTATTTCGCAAATAGAACGGATCACGTTCCGATGCTTTAACATACTGTTGCAACGGACGATTTACACCCCATTTTGGACGATCTTCAATTTTTATTGGTTCCTTTGATTCGTTGCACATATTTCGCGCACCAACTAATACACTCGCACACTCTTTGTCATTGTATTTTTGCTTTGAGTTGATGTGATTCACTGCCACTGTTTTAAGCTCTTCGCCATGAGAGGATAGATCCTTTACAATTACATGGTGATGATGACAATGATGGTAGCGGCATTGAAAGCAATATTCCATTTTTTTATCAGTTTGAGTCGAAGCATCGATGACTTGAGACACTTCGATTTTTGATTTTTCCACCGAATTACCAGTCGATTCTCCTGAGATGATTACGTCAAAGTCGGTTACTGTTGCAGCATCTTTTGTTTGCGTTTGATCTTCCGTGCTGACCTAGAATTGAAATAAAATGATTGATTCCAGCGTTCAAATAAATATTTTTATTTCAAAAGATTCGTACCTTCTCTTGTTCATTCAAGGACATTTTTCGATTGAATCCTGTGCATTGTTTGCATCCATCATTCGTAGGCGATGTACCATTTTCATTTCGAGCTGTCGTATGCTTTTCTTCAACTGCTTCGTCACTGGTTCTGTTGAGCTCTGACTTTTGACCTTGGCTTTGAGTTTTATTTTGTGCAATTGTGTTTAGCTGTTGCATTTGTTGTGCCAGCATAACAGCCAATTGAATATTGCTTGTATTCAAAGTGCTTATGTTTTGATTGAGACTGATGATGTCATTGCTTAAAAGTGGCATTATCGGTGGAAGAGTTTGTAACACCAATGCGATAGCATCGACATTAGTTTCGGGTGCAGTGGATGCCTCTTTCTGAATCGATACTTCCTTCGTTGCCGGTGATTGAATTTTTGACGGTTTATTAAGAGTTTTCTTTCTCATCCTAATGGGAGTCCCTATTAATATTTTTTCGCCATCCTCCGAATTATGAGTCTCGTTTTCTGCCACCATTTTTTCAACATCCGGTGATGGTGATTGTGAAACTTTTGTTCTCGATGTATCTTGATCATCGTGTACTTCATCACTTAGTTCCGCCGATTCGAATTCAATTGTCGAACAAATTGAACGTTTCTTCTTTGCCCTTTCGATTTCGGCTTCTTGGCGTGCCTTTTCAATCGCCAATCGCATAATTTCTTGTTTTCGCTGTTCACGCTCCAGTTTTTCACGCGTTTTACGCTGTTCCTCTTCATATCGCTGCTCATTCGATTCCATTTGTTGTCGCAATTTCTCTTCCTGGCGACGTTCCTCCATCAACGTTTTCTCCAATTCGATTTTTCGCAAACGCTCGCGTTCTTCCACTTGAGCTTTTATAGCGTTTTGTAATTCAATCGCTTTAATTCGTCTTGTAGTTCTTTCGGCCAATACATTCGGATCAATTGGAGCATTTTGACCACGAATGAAAGAATAAGACCTGAGAAAGAAAAAATTGAGAAATTAAAAACAAAAAAACTCATTTTGAAAAGAACGAAAAAAAAATCACCTAACGGATTCATCTCCACTGTCGACAAAACCCCGTTCTAACCAACATGGTCCGTCGGATTTAATGCTACTCTCTTTCGATACAGTGTCATACAAATGACTATTTCGATCGCCCCATTTTGCACGTTCTTCTTTCTCTTTCCGTGACGGTGGACAAGATGATAGTCGAGAATAGTTTCGATTATCTGAGCACATTGAGGATGGAGTTCTGTAAGCAGAAATGTAGTAGTTTACAATGTTATCATTTGATTGAAAACAAAAAAACTCTTACTTGGGTATACTGAAGTCGGTCTCGTGACCGTTGTCATTCATTTGACGTGGAAGCGGTTTGTGCTTTGGAACTCGACGACGCTCTTCAATTTTCATGGCATCCATTTCCGGTGCTAGTTCATCGCCCGACGATGGATATATGTAATTGGAGAAATCTTTCGGTAAGTGCGGTTGATGCTGTGATTGTTGCTGTTGATGTTGATTTTGATTCGCCCACAACAATGGACTCATTCGATCACTTAAATAACCTGAGGTCTCTTCATCCGTATTTTGGTGCAAAAAATGATTATGTCGTGTTTGTGTGGCCATTTGTTTTTGTCTAAAATTTTAAATTCACATTTTCTATTTATTTGTTTTTGACAGAAACTATTTCTGAGACCAATCAATGTGAGCTGGAAGAGCAGAGAAAAGCTTTAAATACCCAAAATCCTGATTAATTTGAATTATTTTTTTAACTTTTAATATTTCTCCTCCACTCTGATCCTCAGTTCTCCTCCAGCTCCTCACATTTATTGATCTAAGAAACGGTCTCTGATTTTAGAAAAATATTTAACTTTTTTTTTAATGTCAAACGATTTAAGCCAGAGTGAAACTCTGATTTAAAACATGAGAAATAATCTTCTCTTTTTCTATCGAAAGTTGAATTCGAATTTGTTTCATGCAAAATTCTACTCCTTGTCATAAAAAAGGTCTCTTTTGTTTATCTTTTCCAACAATAACGATATTATTTATATTAGTTTTTTGACAGTAATTGGTCATGACCAGTGACAGAAATGATATTACAAATGTATTCAAATCTATTCACTTAATTTCACTTTTATCGATGAAAAACCCTTGTGAATTAGCAAAAGACAATTATGGTTCTAAATACGCCTATTGCTTTCAGTAAATTCTTTTTATTCTGTGCACATTTTTTCGTGAAATGACCAAAACTGGTAAATTGTCAATTTTTCATTAAACATGTTTGTCCCCTTCTAATCAAAATGTATGACTTGATTGTATTACGAAACTGTTATGTATACCTGTTGGTTCGTCCAATCGGCGGAAGAATTGGAGCTCGACCATGGTTAATGTCCAGATTTTCCGCATTTTGATATTGTGTATCGTTATCGCAATACAAATCGGTGGTAAATGCTCGACAGCTATTATATCGTGGATCGCCAATATTACTTTTCTGGTAGTTATGCGGAATGTCATAGGGTTCTTGATAATAGGTCGCTCGGCGTGGCATTGTGCTCGACTTCATACCGGAATTATTTGATGAGTTTATATCAACATTTGAATAATATGTCCTGTAAATAGACGCAAATCATTATAAAATAGGAACCATTTTTAGTTGGCGATATCCATGTTAAACGACAGATCTCAACTAAAATCATACAATTCGGAAAAAATTAACCAATACACGTGCAGTTCGATTGGCATGATTCAAAAATAATGTATGTTCTCATAATTGAACAAATAACCTGAGTTAATCTTTCCGAGATCAAAAAAGGTTATACCAATTCATCGGTATACCTACATTTACTTATTTCACTTACAAAAATAAACTTGTTCATTAAAATTAAAATAAATTAGATGTCAATCGAATCGACGTCTTGTCCATACGAACATAATGCAAAGTTGCACCGGTTTAGTCAAATATTTATTTATTTTGGCGATAGAAAGATTAAAAGAGTACAATCGATTTTCAAAGAATAATTCAATAAATAAAATAATCTTTTTCTCTTTGAATTTACGATTTAGAACATGAAACCCTTACTATTACATCGCATGTACATACCTGATAGATGTTCGTTCGAATTGTCTTGTTGTGGTGGTGGCGGAAAAGAAATCATTTAATTTCGATAATTCTTCTGAAGACGAATAAATTAGGATTTTAGTGAACGTTTTTATATTCCATTTAAGAATTTTCACCTTTTTCTTTGGCCCATTGTAACTTTTTCTGTTCCAACAATGACATATCTCGCATTGTATCTCAATTCAAAATAAAAAACTCAAAACACTTCTATTTGAATCAAACTTTTTTTTTATTTAAAGAAAAATCCCAATTCTTCACACAGTGTATCACACCTTGCCTTAATATTGATTGACCAAAGTTCCAGCAGTTTGTTAATTGTCCATTCCACGGCATTGAAACTTGTGCTTCAAACAATATTGATAATTTGCAACTGAAACCACAACTAGCTACCGACAGTTTGTTTAGGCGTTTATTTGCGGACAATACGTTGGCAAGGAAACCACTACCAAACTACACCGTTTCTACATTCAAACATCAACGTGTGGAAAATCCATAGAGATACAACTGTTATTCATTCGGTTGAATTTGGTTCAACGGACTCGTGTAGATAAGCGCGCACAATTATTTCTTAAAATAAACATACACACTTTTCATTCAACAAATAATATAATCATATCGAGACAATTCATATTTTTTTTTTCGTGGAGAAAATTCATTCGTTTCGATGATTGGAAAATTTGGTTCGTTGAACCAAATGCGAATTAACAAATAAATCGCGATGTTTTCGATTTGAATTTGAATCGAAGGAAACTGCATACATTGAACACTACCAATTTTCCTACAATTATTTTTCATAATGAGATAATGAACGGTTTTTATATGATTTTCATTGGAACAGCTATATTTTCATTTATGAATATTTGTGTCACTTAAGTTGCAGTTTCGATGATTGGGTATACTTTCCATACAAATTCATGTTTTTGGTCATTTGTGATCATTTTTGCTATTTTTGTATGGAAAGTATACCCAAACTTAATTTTTTCGCAAAATAAATGTCAGATTCGGTTTTGTCATACCCAAAAACCCACAAATACAAATTTTCACATCATTTGAAAAAAAAAAATTCAAAGGCATTTAAGAGGCGGAAAGAATACGGATGGGTCCGATGCGCGATTTCTATATGCATTTTTTTTGAGAAAAAAACATTACAGGTGTTCTCCTGGGATCCTCCCACATAGGTTATGGGGGTGTACATACTTGAATTCATCATTATTTAAAAAAACGCTGCACCCTTTTGCTCATATGAAAATTCAAGGCCGGTCACTTGAAACATTACTTCGCCCATACTAATGACTACATATTGTGGCAATTGCCACAAAATATTTACAGAATTTTTCGGTGATGTTTCAATCCAGAATTCAAGATGTGCTGCAAGTAGAAATGAAATGCCTGTGAAGACTGAGCCAAGTACGACCTTTTGCAGTTTGTTTCTAATACCAATTTTACTCAAAATTGGATAAAAAATGGCTTTAAATGTTGGAATAAATATGAGAACTAAAATGGCATTTGACACTTCCACTTGATCCGGTTTTATATTATAAAATCCAATGTCACCGTTCATTTTTACAGCTAGAAATGTCCAGCCTGTAACGTGAATATAAAAACATAAATATGTATTTGTATTAATCAATTTTTAAACTATAGTCTTAAAATTACTAGATCCTTGCTGTTTAAAAAGTGCCGAAACGATTGGTAATGGCAGGTAAAGAACAAACATTTTCAACATTGTTCTTGTGTCCGTAACCAACTGGGCTCCAAATTTATCTATTGAATAATCGAGTAAATTTTTTTGAGGATTTGACTTTCGCAGGCGTCGTCTGGTAGAAATTGCATACTAAAAAAAATTCAATATCAAAATAATTATAAATTAAAATATCAAATGTAAACACCTTTATGCATTTATACATTCTTATGATCATATTTTCTGACACTTCAACATATGTGTACGATGACTTTCCAATTACAAAGAATACTAAAAGAAAATATTGAAAATAAGTTGATTTGAATCACAAGCACAATTTACGGATGGAAATGATCATTAAAATAGCAGGAACTCCAAACGCAAGTGAATAACAGTCATGTTCACTAGGGTGTAGCAGAAATATGAAAAAATTGAAAAACAAATACGGCGAGGGTAATAACCTTGGCTATGAGATCCCCTGATAATGAATCAGGCGTTTTTTTGCGAAAAAAATATAAACTGAGATGTCACGGCTCAACGGCGAATTATCAAAAATGGGAAAATTTAGGATTTTTGTGATTTTTTTTGAATTTTTATGTAAGCCACTAAAATACACTATACTTTCAGTATTGCTTATATTGCTTCACCATGAAGTGACAAATCATCGAATTCATTCAAAAAATCTCAAAAATTCCAATTTTCAAATGATTCATTTCTGAACGTAAATTGAAGGTTCTGTGATCCGGAATGATCAATAATTGTCTGAAAATGATGTGTGCAATATTTTAGCTTTATAACACAGCGGTAATTCATATAAGAAATTCATTTTCGGTACCAAGTGGTGAACTCAACGAAATATACGTACAGTGCCGTCAGAAAGTTTGAGACCAAGCAAAAAAATGTCATACAATTTCATACAAATTAACGATTCTTTGGAGCAATTTTTAATATATTTCAGAAAGAGATAGACTCATAATTTTTTGCACACTTATTGTTCTATTTACGGAGAGTAAACTAGTGAAGTTTTACCAAAAAATATCTACGCTTTTAATAAATATCCGATGTTTGCACTTTCAAGTGTGAAAAAGGATTATTTTTCATACAAAATGTGTCATTTTTCACACTTGAAAGTGCAAACCTCGGATATTTTTTAAACGCGTAGATATTTTTTGGTAAAACTTCACTAGGTGTAGTTTACTCTCCGTAAATAAAATAATAAGTGTACAAAAAATTATGGGTCTAGCTATTTCCGAAATATATTAAATATTGTTCCAAAAAATCGTCAATTTATATGAAATTGTATGAAAAAAATGAGCTTGGTCTCAAATTTTCTGACGGCACTGTATATATACAAAAAAGTATGTATTTACGCATTTTCAACGTCCATATTGCCGTGAAAAATCTGATATGCCTGTATAACTCTAACAATTCGGTAGCATAATAGTTTTGAAGTTATTTAGTGGAGTTAAACAAGTCTTTATAATGAATTTTCCATTTTTTTGTGGAACATTCAATTTTGTTGCATTTCAATCACAATTTTCAGTTTTGTTCAATCAAAAAGTCTGTATACGTAATGTTTATAAGGAATATACACTTTCAGGATGATAATGGGATTTAATTGACACAATCATAACCAGTAAGGCGAATGCTGCAAGAGCTTTCAATTTTAGGGGTACATGATCCCATTCCAGTCATTGATATGACAATGTGATCCACTCAGATAGTATACTATACAGCATTATGACTAAAGATTAGATGTTATTGATGCTGCAATGTCGCAAATTGAGTAAAATACATGAAAATTTCATATGCGGAAGAGTTTTGGCCTTTTTATTCAAGAAAGTGGCGAAAATATTATATTTTTTGTCATTTTTCTCTATTTTTCTTTAATGTCTCCATTTGGTACTAAAAATGAATTTATGACATGGGATACTTTGCACACATTAATTTCAGACAATTATTGATCATTCCGGATCAGGAAACCCTAGGGGAAAATATCGAATAAAATAAGTAACGAATATGCTGCGTATAAGAATATAAACCGTATATACCGAAGAATATTTGCAAATAATATTTGCAAATAACTCCGTATATATATGGTTTATACGCATATATGCAGTGTATATGCGGCATACTTGCGATGTCTTCATCTATTTATAGTATATTCGGTAAAAAATACTTGAGTATAAACCGTATAAACGTATAGATAATTCCCCCTAGAGGAAACCTTTAATATTCATAAATTTGTGTTCAGAAGTGAATAGTTTTGAATATTAGGATTTTTGGAAATTTTCAATGAAATGCTGTTCCATGGTGAAGGTATCCATTTTTGAAATTGAATGAATTTTTCTACTAGAATGTGTTATTTGGGTCCTGTTTTGATGATTTAAGCATAAATATAAGCAATACTGAAAGTATGGTGTATCTTTATGCCTTACATAAAAATTCAAAAAAAAAATCACAAAAATCCAAAATTTTCCCATTTTTGATAATTCGCCGTTGACCCGTGACATCTCAGTTTATATTTTTTTCGCAAAAAAACGCCTGATTCGTTATCAGGGGATCCCATAGCCAAGGTTATTACCCTCGCCGTATTTGTTTTTCAAGTTTTTCATATTTCTGCTACACCCTACTGAGCAGCTAGCTCTGGTAATTTGAACTGATCTCCACCAAACGCCGACACACATGGCTTTATCTCACCACCGCCGATTGCAATCAAAACCAAACCGATAAAAAGAGCAGCCTTAGGTGAAAATCCATATAATAAAATCGCATCGTTTTCTGTGAAATTCAATTTCTTTTTCATATATATCGCTAAAATTCCTAAAAATATTGAAGTATACATTAGTGCATATTATGCAGTGATTTTATATAAGAACGAAAGAGAGGAAATTATCGCTGTTTGAAACTAGGTTTGACATCAGTTGGCAATGCACTTTCTCTTTTATTGGCATAGATTTGTGTACAATAGTAGAATTAGAGACAGATAGATTTGTTATCAATAGAATTTAATGTGATATTTAATTAAAGAGTAGCTAAAGAGTAAATCGAAATGAAGTAGTAGGAACCTGATAAAAGGAATGTCTTTTCTTTATCTCGATTAGATTACATTTTTTATTTTTGAAGTAGAAAAGTGTCTCGGAAATCGATACATAATTTTGGACAAAGCTATTTATTGTATTGAATAAACAATTTATGTCATTTATTTGGAAAATATTCATTAAAAAAACATTTCGCTTCGTTGCTTGAAAAAAAATGTGTTAATCCGGGGATTTTTACTGGTAAGAGATTATAAATTGCGTCACTTTTCATATAAAATGTATGTGGGTCTGGCCAGAAAGTATTTCATATGACAACAGAAAGTAGTGCTAAACGGAGGGTTAAAAGTAAAAACCTCAACTTCTTGTTCTTACCGTTAGCAACTCGTTCATGCGACTTGTCCATTTTTGTTGAAGATACCAACTTTGTTGGCCAAGTAAAAATAATTCAACTATTTCAAGAAAAACAAATATTTCTCTCGAAAAGTTTGAAACTTACGTTTGACTTTGCCACCGTTTAAAATCCAACTGACAAACAAAACTGCTTATGAAATATTATTTACTGTTATCTTTTCCATCACTATTTTAATCTTGATTCGATAAGCAGATTGTTGATGAAGTAGTGTATATATATTAATCAATTTTTAAATTATAATCTTTCGAATAATCTTTAAAAATAAAAAAAACCAACATTTCAATATAAAATAATGCCTAGAGGTCCGAAGCTTTCGTAAATCGCTGACGGCAGACATAAGCTCACTATGTTGTTCCATGTCCATGGCCACTTTGAAAAGTCTTACATTACATAATATTTGAATGTCAGAATGGCTGAGAGACAAAATTAGTGATCCAAGTGCATGACGATGGTAAGCATGCAAGTTGACAGCAGCGCCGTTGCAGCAAAACCAAAAATGTCACACATGTGGGACAATTAGCATAAACAAAAACGACCATAGTGAAGTTGCTGCGTTGCCCAGCTGTCATTATCATTGTGCTTTATACCTGCATTTCATAGTGTGTGTTTTGAACATTTTGTCATTAGTAATATAGAAGTGATTATGTTAATGAGAGGCAAATCAGGTATAAAAGGAGCATACATCCGAACATCGATCATTCGATATTTGAATTTCTCTGGCATCACACAGAGAAGAAAAATATATAAGTTAGTACCACGCTCAACATCAGACAGTGAAAAATTCTAAACAGTCCGCATAAAAAATTTATTTTTCTGAAAATCGATAAATTTATTTTGCATTTTTGTGAGTGAATAAAGAAATAATTTGTGAAAATGGAAGAATACGTTCATAAAGTTAAAAGGGCGAGACTAAATCCTCAAGAACAACCACGATCAAATCAAGTTTCTACAACTATAGGACTAGGAACAGTCATAGCGAGCCCAAAATGCGTTGCAAGTACATCAACGCAAGGAATTCTAACCATACCACCACCAATAAGTATGCCAAGTACATCATCGCAAAGAAAAGCACCAACTAAATCAACTCAAGAAACTTTGGACGTTGCGTCAAGTCTAAAGCGCGTCGCTGGTACATCAACTCAAAAACGTGTGGCAAATACATCATCGAATAAGGGCATCATCGAAGCAAAAAAATACTTTGTAACAGATTTGAGCCAAAATGGTAAAGGAAGCACCTCCACCCCTACATTATTTCGAGAAAGTGTGACATGTCCATCAACTAGCAGAATAGGAACAGTCATAGTGAGCTCAAAATGCGTGGCAAGTACATCATCGCAAGGAATTTCGACCACACCAACACTAACAAGTGTGACAAATACATTGAATAAAAAAAAATTGTCGTTCAAACCAAGTCCAAAACGCGTAGCGAGTGCACCATTGCAAGAAACTCTGCCTATATCCGAACCAAAAATTGTGGCAAGTACGTCAACCATGAGAATGATGCCTACGATCACATCAACACCAATAAGTATGCCAAGTACATCATCTCAAAGAAAAGCATCAACTAAATCAACTCAAGAAACTTTGGACGTTGCGTCAAGTCCAAAGTGCGTCGCTGGTACATCAACTCAAAAACGTGTGGCAAATACATCATCGAATAAGGGCATCATCAAAGCAAAAAGAGCAGAGGCAGAGCCGGATATTCAACGGGTCCTACTTCTACCATGCGACTATGATGCTCTTCGTGAATGTGTGTCACACTTTCCAAAAGATGAAAATGGTCATACCATGCCATTGTTGTATCAGTCAAAAGCTGATATGGATTTGTTTTCATCAAAGTTCGATGCATTAGAATCAAAAAATAATCAAAAAGTAAAAAAGATTCGAGCTGTTCAAATTCCACCATATGCGATGATTTATAAAAGAATCAATGAATTAAAAAAAAGCAGAAATGTTAATACAACTGTTAATCATAACGACGATTTTATAGATAAAAATATCGCGAAGAAGGTAATGCGTCAAGAATACGAAATAGAAAAATTACCTCGAGAAGTTCTTGAAAATTGTGAAAAGGCAAAAATTCGTAACGCCGATCTTCAACTGAAATATATATCGAAGATGTTGGCGGAGAAGCCAATAGATACCACGTATCACCCAAATAAAGCACGAGAGTTCATCAAGCGTGAAGATGTTTCAATGGAAACAGCCGATGCTCGCAAGATAAACAATCAAAAATCGAGGGAATCACGCATGAAAGCCAAGAAACGTCTTTTAATTTATAGAGGCTCCAACCTGTTTTTAAAAGAACAGATATCGGACATAATTTCACAATATACCATGTTGGAGGAAATGCTTGATAACGATGAAGATGACGGAAAATTGATGGAGATAATTAGTAAATCCCATGTTGAAGATAGATATGAACACGAATTTATGGGTAGAAATGACGATGGCACACAATTCGGCAGTTACCAACCGACCTCACAAAATGAAATATCTCCTGTAGAGGTGGACAGTTCCGATGAAGAGTATTACAGAATGCCCTTCGAAGTTGTCAAACAAGAATGAACCGTTCCTTTCTCTTTTTACTCAAAATTACTTTTTTTTTTTTTCTTTCTTGAACATCATTTTTTTTAAATACAGTGAACACTTTTATATGTTAAATAAAAATTATTTTAAAAAAAACAAAAATTGAACAACACTTTTTTTATTAAAATAATTCGGAGTTGATGCAAGTAAGAACAAACGAATACAATAATTAGAAGAAAAAATAAAGAGGCTTGCAGTAACTTTAATCACCGTGAAAACACGTGAATATTATGTTCTTATCAAAATAAATATTCTCACCAAGTTTAAAGAATTTTTTTTCGATTTTTGGCTTATATTTGACTTTTTGCATTAAAATTTCTTCAAAATTTCAGAATGTTATTTTTTTGTGGAAGTTTCACGTCATTGTGGTACGCAAAGTCATGGCTCCCACAGAGAAACAAATAGCAGAGTTAGCAGAGAGTTTACCCCTCAAAAAGAGTTACGCACTCTATTTTACTCTATTTTTTGTGTTAATTTCATCCAAGTGAACGCATCGTAGTGAAAGAAGAGATACATGTGTACTACACATTGTGTAGTCACATGTACGTTGAACGCATGCGGCTATGGAAAAGGGAAAAGGGTTATCGTGGAAAAACTGGTTTTTTCAATGGATACCCCTTGACCTCCCCCCAACCTTAACCAATGTCGCTCAAAGTTTGGCCTGATGTACTCCTTGCTATCATACAAAATTGAAAAGATTTGCGGACAGGACACAGGACACACCGGACATCAGACACAGCGAGTAACATTAATATGCCCCAAAAACGCCTGCAATCGTGTTTTCTACATGAAATATGCATAGAAAACATGTTTTGGGGTTTAATTTTTTGGCCTAATACAGGGGGAGGCAAAAGTTTTAAGCCTGATATAGCAAGACACGTTGTATTTTTAAATGAGTATATTTATTATTCAAAGTAGTCTCCATGTACACGAATGACACTTTCATAACGATACTTCAATGCTTTAATTCCCCCCTCAAACCATTCGGCACTCTTGTCCTCCCATACGTTGAAAATATCGGTTGAAATCTCTTCTTCGGTCTTGTACTGCTTTCCCTTGAGATATCTCTTGGTGTTTGGAAACAGGAAATAGTCGCTGGGGGCCAGATCTGGAGAATACGGTGGATGGTGAAGTTGTTCGAAGCCGCATTCCCTGATGGCAGCTTGTGCAAGCAATGATTTGTGAGCTGGTGCATTGTCATGCAAAAGAAGAACTTTTCGAGTGAGAAGACTAGGGCGTTTTTCTCTGATGGCTTTGCGCAATCTATGCATCTGTTGTGCATAATAATAGCCCGTGACTGTGGTGTTCTTTGGGAGGAATTCAACCAATATTATGCCTTTGGAATTCCAGAACACAGAGGCCATTACTTTGTTTGTGGCAATTTGTTTGCGAGGCATTTTCGATGCTGGTTCACCACGTTTGTGCCATTCAATTGTCTGTGATTTGAGCTCTGGATCATAGTAGTAGATCCATGTTTCATCGCCAGTCACTATACGATCAAAAGTATCCCCTTCATTCCATTCCAACAACTCGAGAAACTCATGTGCAGCAGCAACTCGTTCTTCTTTTTGAGACTTGTTCAAAGTTCTTGGAATCCATCGCGAGCAAACCTTTCTCATGAGCAATTTTTCATGAAGGATTCTAAATATACTTCTCTCTGACACGTCAAACATTGCTGCTAACATCTTTTGTCAGAAACTTAATCACCGCACGATATTCGATTTTAACCATTTTATAAAAAATCTCGAGGTTACTTCGTATGCAATGCTGTTGAAAACAAATGATGACAGCTATCAACTCAATTTTTTTTCTAAAATACTAGTGACAATTTGTACGTGAATTACAGCACAAGAACAATATGTAACTAGTGCCATCTATATGTCAGGCTTAAAACTTTTGCCTCCCCCTGTACAATACCTTTTCTACACTAGGTGTGCTTAAAAGTAAAAAGTGAAATTAAATTATATTTATATTATTATAAGTGAATAATAATTCAATCCACATCTCAATATCTCAAATGACAGAACGTAAGAATACGCTAATGACAAAATGTCATTACACTCTAGTCGGCACGGACTATATAATTCAAAAGTTCAACATGTACTTACTATATATATGCCATTTTTTTTCGTTTCGAACTTATCTTTGCAATTTACATGCAAACGATAGATCAATAAACGATAATTGGAATAATAAATTGAGGTGAAAGTTCCTTTGCATATTAAATTTCAAGTAGAAGCATAATAAATTAGTGCCGTTTATCCTTAAAATTATCAACATGAAACAATACAAGTGACAGCTATTCTTCTCTCTTTTTATTTTTGTTTGGTGCTATATTTAACCTTTTGAAGAAAAAAAATCAATTAAAATAATTAAAACGTTCTTTGTTTTTGTTTTTCTATCTTTTTATTAATTCAAAAAAAAAGAGTACATTCTTACCTTCAATGTAACTATAACTTACCAATGGAAATAT